GTCAAGGAATTAGAACATATATATAAAGGCTTATAACATGGTCAAATGTACGTTAAGAAAGGGACAAAAATAATTATTCACCTTTGGCAAGCAGATATTTTGATATTCAACATTAAGAAGCCAACATTAAGCCACATCATGATATTATGCCTACATGAAGGTAAAATGCCGTTTAAGTTGAATCAAATCCCTTGTTTACATTTGAAAGAAAATGTAGGTACTACTTTCACAAAGAAGAATCCCATAATGATTTTCAGCTCTAAAATATAATAACTGAAAAGAGAATATACTTTAATATATTGGCCTGATCAATTTACTGGTTCTTCTTATATCTAGATAGTTCAACTCAGTTCTTCGGAGGTGTTCATAGGGGTATGGTGTACCTGCGTACGTCCAAAGGGATGAGTGTGCGATCGTGTATTTGAGCATCTGCGTCTGTAACTGGGTCTCAAAATTTTTTTTACCCAATATAAAAACCTTCCATTAATTGCTAAAGAATGTGAAATCAAATTTCATAGTAAATACATTACATTCTTTGAAGATTATTTCCGTAAGCACCCTCGGTGCAGTTATACTATTGTACCCTCGGTGCCAGGGAGGGGCAGCGTGGTGCAGCAAGCAGACGCGCGTACGGGAGCGACACGACGGCAGTGATAGCATCGCGATGCGAGGCAGCAGTGGCGGACGCGACAGCAGTGGCAGCGTGGGACAGAGCAGGCGGTAACAGCAGCGACTCCGCCGCGACGCGGGTGGGGCAGCAGGGCGCGGGGCCAACGGCTCACCGTGATCGGCCTCGGCCAAGCCCAGGCAGCTCGATCGGCCAAGCGCGGCGGCACGGTTGACCGCACGGGACGTGACCGTGTGCGCGGCGTGGGGAGGGCGCGCGGTGATCGCGCACCCGGTGCCAACCAACCTGAGACCGATAACGCGCACGAATTTCAATGCGCTCAACATGACTAAACAGTTGTTTCTGGACCTAAACCATTTTCACCACATTCAAGATGGCATATGGAACTACCAAAACGAATCAAAACACTACACCACTCCTTAGCCCAATCTCTCACAATAAATTGCTAAACATAGCAATGTCTAGCTATCGACAGACTTGAAAATTTCTAAATTTTTAAGCTGAATTTGATTTCCATTTACGATTTCTAAGCTAGTGGAAATATTAGCTAGTAATATTATTTTCGACTGCAAGTATTTTATTGTCATCTATAAAGTTTGTACTTTCAACTTTATTAAGGCGACACATACATGTTCTATAGCATGTTTGCTTAACAAAAATTGGTTTTAAACCCTAAGTGATATAACATGATTATTGAATCAACTTTCGTTTCGCATTTTAGTTGATCGTTTCGAGTTACAGAAATTGATCTACACACTTTATCACATGCATTAACACATAAATATGATGCTCATGACATGTTTTAGTAAATGATTTACGGTGTAACACCGAGGGTGTTACAAATTTTTAATGAGGTAATATTAACATAAGCATGTGGTATATTTTCTATTTTCCCCATGGGGGTTTTTGTGGGAAATATCAAAGACACATATTGCCCTCACAACTCATCCATGGTTTTTTCCTGAAAATGTTTTTCATGTGTGTTATCCAAGAGGCAATAGCAATAATATGTCATCATATTTTCTCCTAATTTTTTCACTGGATTTTTACAGGAGTTTTAGCAGCATATCACTTTGTATTGCTCCTGATATTTTTCCTAAAAGATTTTTGAGGGAGTTATCTTTATGTCGTATCTCCAATATTTTTCCACATGGGGTTTTAATAGGATACCAATGATATAGTGGTTTATTTAAACCACACAAACAAATATGCTATTTTCTCCTTATTTTCTAATAAGGTTTAAAAGAGTTTTTATAGCATATCCATATATTCCTCAGATTTTTTTCATAGGGTTTTTTGAGGAATTTCAGCTTACAGCTGCATTGATCTAAAGGAAGATTCGATAAAGGGGGAAGTGTTGTGAAACGACACCTATACGCGAACAGGCGTCTACAGACGAACAGGCGTCTCTTCATAAGTGATATTATCCATCAAGCACATGATTAGCGCATAGGATTAGACAATTAATTTTAGTCCCAAAAGACATATCTTTTGAAAACAGTCGTATCCCTTTGTGACACCCCTTCACTTGTCTATAAATATATTTGAGAGATCAATGAAAACAATAGTTCTTTCAATCTTGTTCATTTACCTTCACTTCTAACGAGCAACAGGCAGTGGACCCCTGTGCCTGTGCGTGCGGACCTTGCTTGGGCGGGCCGCAGTATACAAGCGAGATCGTGTCACCAGGCCCAATCAGAAACACGGGGAGGGGGGAGCCGACTGGGTTGCTGGCTTGCTGCGTAAGGGTAACGGCCCAACAAGGCCTGTGACAGGAAGGAGCATGCACGTGTGCCAGCCCGCGCATGGTGGCAGTATCTGCTGTATTTGTACGTGTAACGTAAATAAAGGAGCAAAAGCAGGCGAGGCTTTTCGCTATTTTGGACCGTAGAAAAGATCACCAGACAGATCAACGACCGTACGACCGTAGGCCTTGTTCGCTCCGCAACAGTGTTTTTCTCTCGTAACAAATCAGCCGTAACAGTGTTTCAGCTTCTTTTTTCAGCGAAGCGAACGAACCGTACTAGCTTATGAATTGCTTGCAGTTGCCTCCTTGCATTTTTCCCATGTGTCTGAACTCAAACCAGCGGCGTGCATGGATAGGATATGCAGGTTAGTACTGCCATACCTGAACCTGACTTCACTTGCAAGTGCAGGACCATTGCTTATTGTGTGTCCTCAACTCAAGCAGACGGGAAGGTGATATTCAGCCTAAGTCATGGTACAATATTTTTCTCTCACAATAAATCAGCATTTATCGAACTTATCAGCCCAGAAACTAACCAGCGAACAGACTGATTGCTTGGTTCATTTGGGTCCCGTTCGCTTCGCTAAAAAAACAAACAAAAACATTGTTCCAGCTGATTTGTTGTGAGAGAAAAACACTGTTCTGGCTAAAAAAAACCTAAAAAGTATGGATTATAAGAGAAACAAACATTGCCTTGTCTGGGTGGTTTCAACGACGATTTTAACCTGCATACAGGGCGCCGTATCACCCAGTACTAGTCTACTTGGCTCTACATTACTCTGTTCCGGCTACGAGTGGAAAATTAGCCCTATGGCTCCATTCGTTTCGTTGAAAAAACGAGTTAAAATATTGTTTCGGCTGATTTGTTGAGAGAGAAAATACTATTTCAATTAAAAAACTGAAAAAAAACGAATTACAAGAGAAGCAAACGGTGCGTTGGCGTTCCCGCGGCGCGGGAGCTGCGTTCGCGATTTCAGATCGCGCAGGTCATTTCCCCGCGTATCTCGTGGTGGGTGGTCATCAAACGTGCGACCGACGCGAGGCGTTCGAAGGGATTCGATCGCTTCTCTCGGTCCTAACGCGCGTATACACGGAACCAATCAGGACCTACTGAACCAGTGGCGAAGCTACTTTGTGTGATCGGGGTCCGTCGACCCCGACGACTTAGCATCCACTTCACGTACCAAACGAATTTTGGCCAGCCAAGACCCCAGCCAAAAAATAGTTTGACCCCGACCCCGGCAGAGGCGCAGAGCACATCCACACGACAAACGCGCCCAGCAGCCCAACGCAGCAGGGTCTAGCCGGCCCAGCCTTGCAACGCAACACAAGAGTACAAGACACAAGGGCAAGGCAAGCGGCAAGCCCGGTAGGCAATAGCCCAGTCCGTGGACATGGAGCACTAGCACAGCTGGAGCCCCAAACGCTTGGCCTTTGCACGATCGCCGATTCCTCTTCCTGACTAGTCCCCTCCATCGGTCCGAGTCTATTCTGCGTCGCCGTTCTCGGCTTCTCGCCTAAATGCATCGTCCTGGGTGCTAGCGGCGGCTGCAAGGCGACTATCGTCTTCTCTACCAAAACACCTAGATGAGGTAGCCCCGAAGGGCCAAAACTTTAGAGTTCATCAATCCCCTATTTGTTGCTTGTGTTACAGAAGTACTCCCTCTGTTCAGAAAAAACATGCAATTCTAACATAGTGTCATGGTTTAGTATTTCAAGTTTGATTAATTATAGATAAAAAAATATAATATTTACGATATCAAATAAATACCATTAGATTCATTACGAAATGTATTTTCATAATAAATTAATTTGGAATCATAAATGTGAATAGTATTCACTAGAAATTTGATCAAACGTAAACTACTTTTTTTAGCACGCAACCCATAGTTTCATGTTTTGTTGGACAGAGAAAGTACATCATATTTCTTAGAGTTCCTTAATCACCGATTGATGAATAAGGATATGATTATCCTTTTCTGCTCGTCATTTATATAGAAGTAAACACCGAATACCATTACATCATATTTTGTTCTCTCTTTTCATGTTTGCCTTTTTGAGAGAATGTTTTAATGAGCCGGAGGCTAAAAGTCTAGAACTAAAATAATCAATGGTAATGAGTATAATTATGGAGAGATCAGAATAAAAATTACTTTTCTAAGAAAAATATGTGACGCTTGCCCTATGTAGTGTTTAAACGTGGTGTAAATGGGCTACATGACCGTTTATTATGGACAATGATCTAGTTATTTCGGAGGTGAGGAAGGGTAGCACAACTGATAAGTATTATACTCCACTATGATAAGCTAAAGTAAGTATTATGTATTTGAACTGATACCGGTAGCGTTTTATCCTGGCTTCGCCTCTGCACTGAACGATAAGCGTGGTGGTCGGATTTGGAAGCGGCAGTCAACGTCGCTCCGCCCAGTCCGAACTCCCAAGCCGTCATGGCCACATGCCCACATGGCATACCCCACGGGCCCTGTTATCCGCAGAGCACTGGCAGTGGAGGAATTACAAATCGTCGAGCACTCGAGCTCCACCAACCACAGGCGGCACTCACCAGCACTTCACCGCTGACCAGCCGGCCACCTGAGTTCCTGCCGCGACCGCGAATCTGACGCAATGGCCGCGGCGGCGATGGGCCTGGTGCGTGAGCTCCTGCGGCGGCAGGGAATCACGGGCACCCGCCGGCACTGCGGCACGGCCGTGGGCGTGGCGGCGGGATTCCTGAGCGCCGCGACCGTCGCGTCGGCGTCCGACGGCGGCGGCGCCTGCCCGGCCTACCCGTGGTCACCACAGGACGGGTAAGCGCGCGCGCGCGCACCGGCAGCTCCTACCTCCACTCCAATCCACCATCGTTTCCTTCCTCACTCAGTTTGCTGGCTGCGTGCGCTTCAACTTCGAGCAGGGCGCGGGGCGGGCACAAGGTGTTCATGCAGCACGACTGCGCGGCGTGCCACTCCGGCCTGCCGTACGCCGGCCTCGCCGACGAGGCCCTGGCGGCCGGAGGCGAGGTGGAAGCCAAGGCGGCCGAGATCGTCGTCGTCCACGAGCACGAGGAGGCGGCGCCGGCGCCGACGCTCCACGGCGGCGCCTGCCCGCCGGACCTCTCCGTCATCACCAAAGTAAGATGTTTCTCCCATGTTTCTAACTCCAACCCTGCTACCATAATCCATTGCTGACATATACGAGTCGTTGCTCTGTCCTGTCCATGGCAAAACCAAAACCAGATGCTGGAAGGGCTGCGCCGCGGCAACCTGTACAACGCCGACGAGATCAAGAAGCGGGTGGCGCTGCCTTCTCCTGTCTGGCTGCAGTTTCTTCAGCCGTACATGAGGATTCCCCAGGCAGCCTGAAATGCCAGATTCATCACTAGAAGAACCCAGCTCCGCTGCAGTCTGCCGTGTCCATGTGTGAAAATAACATTTGGATCTGTGTTGAAAATCCTCTATTTGTATTGAAAGAAACCTATCCAACCACACCACTATGTTATGTACTCTGGTCTTTGGTTTGCTATGTTGTTGACAGTACTCAAATTGCGACAATAAGGTGCTGTGAGAAGCATGCATGACTAAGCTTGTGATGCCATAGTAAAACAGGTCAACGCTGTGTTCACTCTGAATCGATGAGCCATGAATTGCAGTCTCACTGACACAAACTTAGTTTCAGAGTAAAATCCGCAAGAAACCGATAAGTTGCAGTCACTCTTATCTGAAAAAGAATTGGGCTCTGACTCTGGCCTGCTGGAGCAATGAGTTCGGCGACCGTTCCATTTCTCAGGGGGTGTTTAGATCTCTTCCAGTTTGAAAAATGGATATCGAAAAAAAAACTTTCGCTTTGTATTTGGTGGGAAATTGCGAATTATGAATTATTTAAGCTTAATTAAAGATTTTGAACACTATTACGGATAAAAACGAATGTGCAATTAGTTATTATTTTTAATCCAACATTTAATGCTTAAACAAGGGCTTATCTGAAAAAGAATTGGGCTCTGACTCTGGCCTGCTGGAGCAATGAGTTCGGCGACCGTTCCATTTCTCACTCGGCGCCGAGCTCTACCCTATACCCCCGCGCATGTCCTGACGGTAGTAGTCATGCATCATACACTGGCGTTTTGGCAGCTACACTCGTGCACGCAACCTGACACTAGTAGGCAGCATGCATCGCCCGGTTCGTTGGGTTGGTTTAGTGTGAGAGAAAAATATTGTTCGTTAATTGATAAGTCATGATTTATAAGTCAAATACGATCGAGCGAACAGGTTGCATGTGCATACATGTCTCCAGCCTCCCTCCTTAAAAGAAGTGCATGCTTTTTCACGCCAAGGCTGAGTAGAAATCTTTCACATCCATCTATTGTTGTGCAATTCAATTCATCTAGTGTTGGTGGTATACAATTGATCAACATGAATGCGGTTGCATCAAAAGGTTTATTTAGTTAAAAAATATTGGTCAAATCATTGATAAAAAATTTAAAAAATTGATTATTGGCATCAAAAGGTTTATTACATACTCTTTCATATTCAAAAATAAAGTTGTTTTGAACAAACATACTCCCTTCGTGTTAAAAAATAAAGTTGTTCTGAATAACATTTAGCATACTCCCTACATTTGAAGTCTAAGTGTACACGTTCACGTGCACTCTACTATATGACAATGAAGCATTTGTTGGTTTGGATTTGAACTTGCCACCAGAAAAATAAGAAAGTTGCAAAAACCGTTCATTTTGATATCGTAGATCTGGACATATCTCATGCTATCCAAGCTATTGAAAATAAGAAAGTTACAAAAACCATTCATTTTGATATCGTAGATCTGGACATATCTCAAACTGTCCAAGTTATTGAAAATAAGAAAGTTGCAAAAACCGTTCATGTCCTTGTTGCTGGTTGTCCTGGATGAGGAATTACCGGAGAAATAAACAATATAGCGAGCCAGACACCAAGTACTTAGATATGGGATTTTAAGTTATCCTAAATAAAATCATTTTAAGTTTGGCCAAACATTTAGAAAAAGAGTGTTACCATTTAACATATTATTATCTTTTTCTATAGATTTGGTTAAACTTGTAAGACTAAAATTATATATTTATTTCGGATGGAGATAGCATATTTTATTTTTGCAATGTAAATAAATAATACTCTAAATAATGGGAACATGAGTGCATGTTGTAGGAGTAAATGCACTATAGCCTTGTTTAGATTGTAAGTTTTTTCACTCTCTCTCTATCACATCAAATCTTTGGACATATGCATGAAGTATTAAATGTAGATAAAAAAATAACTAATTACATAGTTTGATTGTAAATTACGAGACAAATCTTTTGAGCCTAGTTAAACTATGATTAGACAATAATTATCAAATACAAACAAAAAGTGCTACAGTGCCAAATACTGATTCCTAACCCAAATCTAAATAAGACCTATGTAGTTGGAGCATGCATGCATACAATTGGTCCACCAACACGAGTCACTGGCTCACACTGCGCCGCTGCATGGAGGATCACCAAGGCCTCTTCTCTCGCTGGCGCACTGTGCCGCTGCATGGAGGCCCTAGTCAAGAGTAGAGTACTACTAGCTAGAGTAGCATAGCGTATAGGAGTATCCTAGAGTAGGGGCTCTAAGACTGGCCGTTGCGTTGATTTCTTGGGAACAGACGCCACACAGTCATGCAAGCCATGTTTCCTGCACAACGCATATGCCAGACCTCGGCGGGATCTTTGGCGCCAAGGTCGACGCCTTGAACCTCGGCTCCATGGTCGAGACTCAGCGCCGTGGTTCACCGCGCCGACCCTATAGGTCCAAAAACGAAATTCAAATCTTTAGGGGTCTAATTATGAATACTTTTAAAATAAGGGCTAAAAAATAAAAAATTCGGCTGCAGTAGGCACATAATTATAAATCTGAACTGAATCTTATCAAGAAACTCCACTATAAGTTCATGCGCTTAAAGAAATAAAAACATATATTTGGAACTAAAAATAGGTGAACAAGGTGGTAACCAAAACTCAGCCAGTCAGGTAAATAGGTGAAACCTTATGCATCGCTGTTTACAAAATTGGGCAAGATATGGACCATGTAACAGTAGGAACTAGGAAAGACTTGATATCAGTAAAAATCATCTCACTTCAATTGTGGAATGGAATCTTCATCTGCCTGGCTGCTTCTCCCTCCAGAAACACCTGCTAGGACGGGGAATATTATATATGATGCAGGATGCCTCCATACTGATATTACAACAAAGAGAGACGAACAGACCATGGGATGATTCAGACCGATGTTGAACTGTACGGTACTTCTGTAGAACAATAACACACATGGCTATCAGTAAAAAGAGAAGAATGATAAAAGAAAAACACTGAAAACATAGAAGCAACAAACTGATACCTGCAGATGGCTTTTTACATGGTATATAGTTAATCCTTCGACCTTCATAACCTTCTGGACTGCTTTTGGAGTTGCTTCTGCAGGAACAAAGAAAAGGAATAAAATTATCTGCTGACAAGGGTAAGACAACTAGCAATGTGACTGAAAAAATTTGAGACTTGCACTTCAGTGTCCAAGTAAGATAAATGTAAAACAGATCATAGAGAAGAAAAAAACATCAGTATCCTACTTTCGCTCCCACCGAGCTTGTTAACAGCATCAACAAAACACTCATGAAGCTCGGTGTCCAGCGCATCCTTGGCTTTGGAGCAGTGTTTGAAGAAGGGAGGCTGTCAGCGCCAAGTTTATCACAGTTGAAAGGATCTGGTACGCTCCTCTGAGTATGGCAGTATAAGTAACTTTGAGGTGTTGCAATTCTTGCATCAACTGTCTACGAAAAAGGAATAACTTAGGGCAGGCCTGGTGCAGTGGTGAGAGTTGTCTCACTGAGTCACCAGGTCGTGGGTTCGAAGCAGCCTCTCCGCAGATTTTGCGGGGGAAAGGTTTGTCTCGGTTTATCCCTTCCCCAGACCCCATTCATGTGGGAGCCTCCGGCATTGGGTCTGCCCTTTAATTGCATTCAGCATTGCAAGATGAAGTCCAACTTCAATTTTCAAAATTTGGTTCACTGATAAGTGATAAAGATCATATCATATTGTTTTACAGGTAGTATAAATACAAAATAAAACAAAGGAGAAGAGGAAGTCATGAAATAGTTAGGCCATGGTATGACCAAAACATATATCCAGATACCTTCAGCACAGATTCAGCAGAACCTACATTCTTCTGAAGCTGCATAGAACCCCCAGACGAGAACCACTCATTTTGTGGTGTAAGGTGAGAATTAGGATCGGCGGTAATGGTGTCCTGAACTTGTTGGCCCAAGATGGTCACATTTTTTGATTTGGAAAAATCGACACTTGCTGGATAATCAAATAAACCTAGGAGTTGTTCTTGGTTCGAACATATCTGTTCAGATATTTCTGGAAAGTCCATCACCAAAGGCCTTGAATTACCGATTAATGATGAATGCGTTGCTAGCAATGGAGTATCAGGATCATATGGCTCAGTAACATATGATCCAGAACAAAGCTGCCCATTAGGTGATTCGTTGGTGAAATTGGAAGCTAACATATGTGTTGACATGGTATCATGTGCAGCCATAGAAGTGTCAAATGAGGTGACAGAACTAATAGGCAGTTCCCTTTCAACAAAAGATGATCTCTGCTCTGGAAAACTAGGAAATGATACCTCTGAGAATGCTGGTACTAATGTTAGAGCTGACGAAAGACATGGGGGAACTCTTCCACTGTGAAGCCGATTCATGGTTGATGTATGGCTGCATGCAGTACCCATCAGTTTAATCTGTTCAAGTGAAGCTTCAGTCATATCATTCACCAAGTGCAGAGATTTATTTCATCAATCATGTGAAGAAAACAACAACAACAACAAAGCCTTTAAGTCCCAAACAAGTTGAGGTAGCTAGAGTTGAAACCCAGCAGAAGCAATCAAGGTCCAAACACGTGAATAGCTGTTTTCCAAACACTCCTATCTAAGGCTAAGTCTTTGGGTATATTCCATCCTTTCAAGTCTCCTTTTATTGTCTCTACCCAAGTCAACTTCGGTCTTCCTCTGCCTCTCTTCACGTTACTATCCTGGCTTAGGATTCGTCTCCGTTGGACATGTCCAAACCATCTCAACCGGTGTTGGACAAGCTTTTCTTCAATTGGTGCTACCCCTAATCTATCACGTATATCATCGTTCCGAACTCGATCCCTTCTTGTATGACCGCAAATCCAACGCAACATACGCATTTCCGCGACACTTATCTGATGTAATGGAGAAAAAAACAATTGGAGAAAACAAGTGGAAAAAATGCATGTGAAGAAAACAATTGGAGAAAAAAAAAGTGGCTGCAGGCAAACTAAAGATTGTAATCATGATGTAATAGAGAGCAAACTGCAAAGGATTGACAAAAGACATCTAGCATGAATTGCGGAGTTAAACCACTCCTTAAACATAAAGATAAGAGATAAAAGGAAAGAAGTATCAGATAGCTGATTAGAGCAAGATACACCTAATAAAGTAGTTTATGAAAAGAGTTAATAAGTGCAACGAATAATATAAGGAAATAGAACATCAAAGAAAGAGATCATAAGAGAAAAAACAGACAGAACAAACTGCAACGAGAGTAAGCTGAAATTGGCTTCTGGGTTGCTACTTACTTGTTTCTTCAGGTAATGGAATCGATGAAAGAAGTGCTGCTAAACTTTAAATCTTAGATAGATGAGAGATTAGCATCATCTAGAATAATCAATTGTTTTCCTTTCAGAGGTCTGGGGTGGGGACCATGGTTCTGGACCTGCTACATGTACCCCTTTCTTCAATGACCAAACTAATAGTCCACTGCCATTCCATATTGCAGCAACTTGAACAACATGCTCTCTTAATTTAGAATTGATAATTATCTAAACCAACAAGCTATTGCACACCCAACCTTTCCTATAAGCAACATGTATACCTTCAATTTTTAAAAGCTTTACATGTCTCAAGATAGATAAATTAGGTTGCTAGTACAAGCAGGAACCAGTGACTCAGATATATACAGACCCAACCGTTTATATTGTGAAAGCTGGCTATATTAAATTACCAGCATCTACCTTCCCAAAGCTTCTTTGTCTGATCAGCTAACTGTGTGGATGAAGCACCACCTATAATAAATTCCAACAATGAGCTTGCATTCTAGGAGTTCTCTTTGGTAGCAATGTGCCTTGTAGTTGACAAACCCGATTTGGCATGTACCAAACTTTCATTGAGAAGCTGGCTTGACAATGACCCATTCTACATTAGATTTCTCTTTTGCCATTATCCATTATCTCACACTTTTTAATTTCAATTGGAGTAGCAGAAATAGAAAACCAGAGGTTCTCAGACACCTCATTACTTACATTTGGAGTTCTGATCTGGGGTAGGTAGAATCTAAAAGCATTAAGGGGAGAAAGTAATGAGGAAAAAGTCAACTGGGCATTGATTGGTTTGCAGAATCGAAATGGTAGCAGCTTTAACAGAGGTAAAAACATACTTAGGCCGATGTGAAATACTGCTTGCAGTCAAGATAAAGAGATGAAACTTGATTGCAAACCAAATAACAAGAAAATCCACACTACAAAATTATTATATATATCATCACAAACAGTTCATTTATCACCCTAAAAAAAATCCGTACGTTTCATGTCCAGAAAGCACAAAAAGAATATAGAAGAATGAACACAGGGTGAATCTAGTAACTGTCTTTCATTTCACCTTGAAGACAAAAAAGAGCAAGAACAGATTCAGCCTCTAGGTTTACATACATGAAATAGCCATAATCTATATCTCTTTCATTTCGACTGTTTCCAGCATGCAAAAAGGCGGAATCAATTGATTTTCTGCTGTTTCAGGTTCAGCCAATCAATGTTTGTAGTCAGCTGGGGGATCAGTCACTCATATTTTTCCTTGAACGATGCAGGAGAGTTGGCGTCATTTCATTAAAGCAGAAGAGTACAAAAGACGTACATCAACCCGACCCCGCCAACACACACACGCACAAACACACCAGTGACACGTTAGTTCTTGATCATGTTACATGAAAAGTAAAAGATACAACCAAGGAAGCCATAGCCGATCAGTCACTCTTTTAAAACTTAAAAGTGAAATGTCAGAATCAGCGTGCAAATTGTAATATTCAGCATGATCTTGAACTATAACTATGTTATCATGGAACCATTAGATGAAGTTGCTGAATATGGAATGCGTAGAGACATTGAATCCTTTCAGTAATCTCACCTGGAAGGAAGAAAATCTAGCTTTAGCTGAAGAATTCTGAGCGCTTGGGTGCTCATCTCATTTGAAATCTGAGAAAGGGAGCAGCTGCAATTACGAATAACTTACAGTGATGCTGATCTATTTCATCTTCTCTGCACTTACACTTTCTGAAAACAGTAAACATTAACACAAATAACTAACAAAGGAATTTGAAATGTGACATATCTCATAGTAACTATTTTTTTAATAGCATACCGATCTGCAGGAGTAGCATCATGAAATTGCTTATCTATTTGAGCAAGGTATATCTGGAACAAGCTTGACCTATGCGATCAGTTACAAACATGGAATTACCATTAATGATCACAAAAAATTAAGAAAAGACATCCCATAAGGTAAAAGGTCAGCTCACCGTGGTGGAATTGCTGCGGCAGTAAGAACTGGAGGTAGAAGCCATAGTAAGGATGGTTTACTCTCTAATGACTGTCTTGCATAGTCAAGAATATCCTTTTCCTGTAGTTCAAAGCTTTGCATGAAGATACATTTTTTCAGGAGGTCTGAGAAAATAAAACATTGTAGATACCAAGATTAAAAATATATGCCCTCTTGCTAACAATTGTTATTGCGAGTTGTGACAGGCCCATTATGCATTTTATTTCCTGAGGGGTCTCTGAAAGGCATGCTAATCATAACTAATAAAACTATTATGAAATCAGTTCCAAAGAATTTTTTGTAGATTAAAACATATATCAGAAGGCCCAACATAGCGTGTCAAATTTTCTTATCAGTAAATGTTCCAAAACCTGACCAGGATTCATGGGTCAGTTGAAGGGTCCAAGCTGATTAGATATATTACAAATGAATTAAAATGACATATGCTAATCGAAATGAAGACAAGGAACATGGTTTCAGAAAATAAATATTAGCATATAAAGGTAAGGAACTAGTTCGCTGACTCAAGTATTGTATAAATCAATCAAGTACGTCAAACTAGACCAAGGGTAGTATGACAAGTTATTGGTTTTGATAATGTTATTTACCATTGTTGAATGTAGACTAAGGACTGAGCATTAGCAGCTCTCATCAAAAAATGGTTTTGTTTCAGTTTCCTGTCCCATACTCACATGTGTAAGCACAGTTCCAGTAAGTGCACAGAAGGCCTGATTTGGTATACAACACATTACAGGTTCTGGCAAAGGAGTTTGATCATATGCCCTCCACAGATTTTAGTTACAGATGGACACTGAGGATTCATAGAAGCACCCTTGATAGTTCGCACAAAGACACATAACAGTGTTCAGTATTTAGGTGAACCTTCCTGAATTTATTCTTAAGATGTACAGATAAATACTTAGTTGACAGGGGTACAATCCCCATATTTCAAAAAAATTCTCACTGAGTTAAAGTTTCCTACATACAGAATCCTTGGCAAACTATTAACATGATATAAGTCCAAAATAGGAAAAACCTCCAAATTAAGATGTTCGTCTTGGAATTTCTCCTGAGAAGTTCTGTGAAGGCACTGGTGCAGATCAGCGTACTTCTTGGATATAGGAATGAAACAGAAACTGTGTGATATGAAGCTCTCTATCAATGTGTTCCATCGCCCTGTAATTGAACCCAGCAAGCATATCTCCTACAAAGATAACACATACATGTTGATGTGACAATGTAGAAAGTTTATATACTAGAACCGTATACAGATGAAGGCCAGAAGATGAGTAGTTACCATGGTTTCGACAAGACCACTATGACATGGTTCGGCTAAACCTTTCAAGGGCTCAAACACTTTCATCCACTGCTCTTTAGGAGCTTTAAAAATCAAACTAGCTCCAGCCAAAACCCGAATGGTCCGCTCATCAAGCAAATATGACAAACACTTGGCTCTCCATTGCTTCCACATTAGAAACTTGTCGATCATTCGCGATGTTCTGTGTTGTAATAGCATTGAGTAAGTTCAGACTGGGGCATGCTATCGTGTAAGATAAAGGACACAGAAATGTGGATTTTGACAACAAAAGGCAACACATCGAAGGTGAATGCTTACTTTGGAATCACTGGGACGCATGGCTTATTACTACGATTTTCCAAGCTATTTCTTTTCACACTGTTCAAAAGTGTTTCCAGTCCTCTCTCAGCCAAACAAGCACACAATGCTGAATCCAGTGTTTTCTGAAATTCTTTAACTATAATGCGTGAATTGCCCATGGATTCTGCATGCAGTTCATCAGAACTAGTGGGAAGTCCACCATCACAAGCATTCATGGACTGCGCAAAACATGACAGATTCATATTCAATATTGACTCAGCATACTCTTGGCATGCGTTGTGCACACCAGTAGCACAAATGCCATCAATATCCATCTCAACAACCGCTTCAAGAAGAGCACCAAAGCTTTCCACGCTCATTGTTTTTGCTTTCAGAAAATGTCGCACAACCAACACCCTTGCCATGGAAAGCATTTCTGAACGTACAGCAGCAAGACCCTGCACATGTAACAGAACATCACTACGCGTAACAACCCCAGAATCAACACATACACCGTACAAGCTTTGGAGAAGCACCTTCGGGAACTCGGGGCTCGAAGTGAGCTCAAGGAGTGACGCATCGAGCTCTCTTGCAGAATCCTCGTACTGGCCCGAGTCACGCAGGTCCTTGAAAACCTAAACACAATGTAGGCACAATCGAGCAACTCAGGAGACATGTTTCCGAGTCAGTAATCGCAATCACTTCAAACCTTTTGCCGCAAAAATTCTGCAAATGTCTAGCATAAGAACGCGGCACAGACCAAAAGACATTATGGAGTCGAGGGGCAGGAGGCGAAAGGGATCGCTGCTGACCTCCTCGAAGAAGAGCGCCCACCGGAGGGCCTTCTTGACCTCGTCGGCGCTCCAAGTAGCGGCGACGCCGGACGAGGTGCGGCCGCCGGCAAGGACAACGACGTCCACGAAACCCCGGACCAGACCGAGCACCTCCTCCATGGCCACCGCTGGGTGCGCCCACCCCATTTTCCGAGCCCCCTTCTCACAATCCTGACTTCTGCAGGGACTGATGGGCAAGAAATCCTGCACTTTCCACTTTGCACTCAGAACCCTATCCTTGCGCATTTTCCTTTCTATCACTCGGTTGTGGTTCGCACCTCGCACACGGACACGGCACACTAGCCTGAGGTCCTGAAAATGCAATTTCGAATATAACAAGGGGGTAATCGAATAATAGCCGCAAAACCCTAACTTCACCTCCGTCTCCCGTATAAACGAGCCAACCCACCCACCCACCCCCGCGCCGCCGCCACTCTGCGCCGCGCTCGCGTTTCCTCCTCTCCGCTTCCAAGATGTCGAAGCGAGGTAAACTCCATGCTCCTTTCCCACTCGATCTTCTCGTGCATGGTTCGCCGCTTGTGCTGTTGTAGTATATCGTTCAGGTTATATGTTGTGAAATTTCGTTTCTGATGCGCGAGTCCTTGCGCTATTTGGAGCCCATCGTAAATGAGTAAATCATCTGATGTAGCAGCTGGTGGGTTCGGGATTAGTGATCTTTTTAAACGAATTGTTCTAAATTTTGATGCCACGGTCATGAGTTTGATACGTAGTTACATCTGAGGTTATACGTTGAGCTTTGTGGTTTAGATGTTAGTTGGTTTATTACGGATGTCAAATCTATATATTTTGCTGCAGTTCTAATGCTTGAAGTGTTACACTTCCTTGTAGTCAGATCCACACTTAGATTGAAAAATGATGATATTTATATGACTGGTGGTAGCGTAATTTAGCCAATATTATTGTTAAATGTTTAGCTGCTACTAATCCTCCAGTGTGATGTGTAGAGTTAATCGAATTGTCCCATTGTTTTCCTGTTTCATGTGCATTATAGAGCTAATCTAGTTGATCTTAAGTGAAGCGCAGCATGTCACATTTCTCAATCTAGGTGTTTCTCTATTTTATCATTTACTCCTACTTAGGTTCCTCTATTACTGGACAATCAGATTAAAGCTTTCTTTAAACAAACTTTGGGCTTGTATACAATTCGTTTTGCATCTCTGTGCTTTAAATGCTGCTTGTTACTATAGTTTACACTTAATAATGATGCATTGGAGTTCTGTGGTATAAATGTGCTTTGAACTGCAGGACGTGGAGGTACTGCTGGAAACAAGTTCCGGATGTCACTGGGTCTACCAGTGGCAGCCACTGTGAACTGTGCTGATAACACTGGAGCCAAGAACCTGTACATCATTTCTGTGAAGGGAATCAAGGGGCGCCTTAACAGGCTTCCTTCTGCCTGTGTTGGTGACATGGTTATGGCAACTGTGAAGAAGGGAAAGCCTGACCTCAGGAAGAAGGTGATGCCAGCTGTCATTGTGAGGCAGCGCAAGCCATGGCGCCGAAAGGATGGTGTCTACATGTACTTTGAAGGTACATTTCTCATCATGACTGGATGCATTGACCCTACATGGTTTAATCATTTGAGCTTTTGTGTGCTTGTAGAATTATCGAGAATTCAGTTCTCTTGAATAGGCTTCTTTTGATTTAGTTTTGATTCTTTAGAGTGTGATGTCTGCTTAGCTAACATTCTACTTTTGATATTACTTCTGAATTTTAGTAAACATGGTGATCAACACATCATAGTTGTTTTCTGCAAAATTGTACTCTAGAATACTTTATCCTGAGAAGTTATGATTAGATTTTAGGAAGCTCGATGTTCTCTGTGTAAACAGTGTTGCTTCTTTACATAATAAAGAGTGACCATCCAGTATGGTCATTTGTCAAGAGGAAGCATATAAGCGAACTGGCCAGTATTAAACAGCATTGTGCATTTTTCTGCTGTGCAGTGTTACCTGTCTCCTGGCACATGTTAAAGCATTCGTGAAACAATGCCCAATACTACGTATTTGCTCAGTTAATTCAAACTCTAGTAATGGTGAAGGTTTATGGCCCACTATAAACATGGAAGAACATGTGCAAGTTATATGTTGCATCTTGGTTGGATTTTATATTAGTTATGCCTTGATATAATTTGGCATAAACATATGGTTGAATTGAGTTATATTTTCTGTCTTCTGACATTTTTTGTGCTATCTTCACATATGTTGTTAGATTTAGATTAGAAGACATTTGGTGGCCAGCAACTTTTTTATTTACCTGCTGCTCTTCTGGTCATCACATTTACTTTAGCCTTTGTTCGCTGTTCATACTTCTATAATGTTCTGTTTATGTGATATTGCAGACAATGCTGGAGTGATTGTGAACCCAAAGGGAGAGATGAAGGGTATAGTCCTGAAAGTTCTATGGTTTTATATGCATTATTACAACTATTCTGCTGTAGGCATAGTTGAAAATCATCCCTTGAATACAGCAAGCTGCTTATAGCTTTATGCCTTTATTATAAGCTAATACGTCTTCCATGCTGCAGGTTCTGCCATCACTGGACCCATCGGAAAGGAGTGTGCTGATCTCTGGCCCAGGATTGCTAGCGCGGCAAATGCGATTGTCTAATCGAAGCAGTTGGTTGAACTTTATTTAAAGTAGCATTTCCTTGTGTTGAGACTTGAGAAGATAGTTCTTAGTTAGATGAGCTTTTGATGGCCCCAAAGATGTTTCCCCGGATGTTTGTGCTGCTGGATCGTTTCCTGTTAGCTTTGATGACATCCTCCCCATATCGATAAGAAGTTGTTGCTTAGCCTGACATTTGGCAGAGTTTAAATGTTATAAGTTTTGATATCTCGTGCTGTTTCGCATTGCTTTTCCTTGGGAGAGTTGAAATGTTGGGTTGTTTTGGAATGGAATGCAGGGAATGGAGTAGAATCTCAAGTGAATTATACTTAATTTTCATTGAAAAAGATGCAGGAAACAGGGAAAAATCTGTCATTTGAAACATTGGTTGATTTTGTCTTTGTTTTGCCATCCCCATTCAGAAACATGGGAATGTGCTCTCCATTTCAAAAGAAATACTGGATATTTTTTAATTTGACTAGATTTATTGAAAATATCAGCCTACTTTTTTTTGAGAAACCGGGTGGCATTAGATTTATTGACATAAAAGTTTACAGGCATTTCTTACAAAGACACCCCTAAAAAGCAAAATTACATCCAAGTCCTTGTAAGACTTTCCCGTCATCTTCAACGTCGGCCATCGGAGTCGCCGCTCGATGTGTCGTCTCACGAAGAGAGGAGCGCCAAAGCTGCAACTTGAAGCGGATTCATAGCTCGACGAAGGAACTTCCGAAGAAGCGACATACACTTTAAACGCTACATCAATCGGCACACCGAAGAAGCCAATGCACACTTGAATCGATGAACGCTCGAGCAATCCGTTGCCAAGAGAAAGGAGATCCGGCGCCTCAAGACAGTGTTGGCGACCTCCAAGCAACCAGTGACGAAACGACACCAAAAGGGAGACTCCAACCTGATTTCTCAAGGTAGGAGGAAACATACCTCACAGCTCCATCCCTAGAAGACGCCGCCACCGCCACGGCCGCCAGAGATGCTCTGGAGGAACAAAGAACCGGTCGCCTGAACCCTAAGCCACCGGGATAAGCTCGGCTTCGCGTCACCGATGTCTAAGCGAAGAACCCTAACCCTAACCTAGCTAGAAGTACTCTAATAGGAGGGAATATGTACACCACCTACCGGATCCCCGACTCTCCAGGCATACCGGCGCCACGAAGGCCACCGGCGGCGAGGAGAGCCAGCGAATCCGACGATGGGAGCGAGAATCGCCTTTGAAGTCGCCTGTCTCAACTGTAGAAGGGGAACGAGATGCTTCGAGTGGAGTCTGGTCGTACCTACGTGAAATAGTTGAAAATATCAGCCTACTAGGCCTAGGGCTGGACAAAATACTCACGGCTCGTCAACTCGCTCGACTCGTAGCCGGCTCGGCTCGGCTCGTTTTAACTTTTTTTCACAAGCTGAACTGAAAGTCTAGCTCGCTGTTTTAACGAGCCAGCTCACGAGCTGAGGCCTATCAGCCCACGACCATGAATCCAAAAGATGATGATGCTGACCTAGAAATGCCAACCTATTATTTTGGTGTGTAATCCTTATTTTCAGCTGTTTTATATGGATTTTGATTTTATAATTGTCGTGGTACTTAAATGTTGATTTATGGATTATTTTTCAGGTAGAAGATGATGATGCTGATATTGAATTTTGTGGACTTTTCTAAGTTTGTGGTAAACTGCATGGACCATGGATGGACCAACTATGTTGCATGGTTGATACTTTTGATGAACCTAATGTGTATTAATCATGTATGGTTGTATAATAGTGGACGTGACCTTCTGGAATTAATGTAGCATAAACATTATAAACATGTATGTCTTTTTTTTATAGTTCGCGAGCTAAACGAGCCAGCTCGAGCTCACTAACGAGCCGGCCTAACAAGCCAGCCTGAGCTGGACCGAGCCGAGCCGGGTGGCTCGATATCCAGCCCTAACTAGGCCCATGCTTATACCCATCCTACCTATTCGGCAGCGGGCCAGACCGGATGGCCCGATAGATGTCCAGGTCCGGCCCATCCCAGCCTCGCCTAAACACAGGGGACTAGAGATGGAGAGCCGTTCTATCTCCAGTGGCGAAGTCATTCGGAGTTCGGACATGTGGGCCACGTCTCCTCCGCCGCACCCACTCCAGCTCCGGCGACCGCCGCCTCCTCCTTTCCTCGTCCGCCGCCGTAACAAGCGGCTGGACCGCATCGCGGCCTCACAGGACCCCCTCACCGCGCTGACCCGCGTGCTGTGGGGGCGCGCGCTGCCACCGGCGCAGCTCGTCCTCGCCGTGCGCCACGGCTGGACCACGGCGTGGCAGCTCCTGATGCGGCAGCTGGCGCCGTCGGACCCCGCGACGGGCGCCTTCACCCGTAGCCCTGCCCGCTTCCCCGCCGTCGCGGGGGAGCCCAGCTCCCGGCTCCACCTCTACGTGGGCCTCCCCTGCCCCTGGGCGCACCGCGCCCTCGTCGTCCGCGCGCTCCTCGGCCTCGAGGCCCGCCTCCCGGTCTCCGTCGCCGTTCCCGGTGACGACGGCGCGTGGTCCTTCACGCCCGGCATCCCCGACCGGCTCTACGGGAAGCAGAAGCTCCGGGAGGTGTACGCCCTGCGGAGCGGTGGGTTCGAGGGCAGGGCCTCGGTGCCGATGCTCTGGGACGCCGAGCGCCGCGAGGTGGTCTGCAACGAGAGCATCGAGATCGTCAAGTTCCTCTGCGGCCTCGCGGGCGACGGCGGCCTCGACCTGTGGCCGCCGGAGCTGCGCCAGGACATCGACCGCTGGTACGGCCTCATCTACCCCAGCGTCAACAACGGCGTGTACAGGTATATCAGAAACTGGATTGCTCTGCAGCATTGCCCTGATCAAATCATCAGTTACAGCAACTGAATTCTCCCTGGCTGATAATTCTGTGATCAAATTACCAATTGCAGGTGTGGGTTTGCACAGAGCCAGGAGGCGTACGACGCCGCGGCGAGCGAGCTGTTTGGCGCGCTCGACAGGCTGGAGGCTCACCTCGCCGGCTCCCGCTACCTGTGCGGCGACAGGCTCACGCTGGCCGACGTCTGCCTCTTCACGACGCTCATCCGCTTCGACCTCGTCTACAACACGCTGTTCCGGTGCACCAGGCGGAAGCTGGCCGAGTACCCCAGCCTCCACGCCTACACGCGCGACATCTACCAGATGCCCAAGGTCGCCGAGACGTGCGACATGGAAGCCATCATGGCAGGATACTTCAAGACACTCTTCCCGCTCAACCCCGGCGGGATCCAGCCACTCCCGCCGGCGACCTGCGATAGGGAGTCGCTCTTGAGGCCACACGGCAGGGAGGCCTTGTCCTGTGCTGCTGGCACGCCGCTTGAAGCAGCCGGTGTTTCATAATTCAGGCTATGAACAAAGCTTCTGAAACTGCAGAAAGAGTTTATAGTTGTACCAGATACTGATGCTTCAGCTTCATTTGATCAAGAAACTGCCATTCATAAACACTTGGCCATATGAGTCACTGGTTAAATATGTTGTCAAGATCTGTGCTGCCAGTGATGATTATGATAGTGTTTCGGAAGAAGATAGAATTGGTTCTGCTCAGTGTACCCAAACTGTGAATTCCAAGTACTTATTAGAATCCTTAGTGTAATAAAGCGCACCTCTTTGGACATGTAAATTTTGTAAAGCAGCTGATGAGTGAGTTGTATAAAAGATGAATCTTATTGACTATTGGCATGTGTTCTGTTCCATGGGTAATTGTCTGGTACAGCTTACAAGATATCTTTGTTAGTCTGTGTTGTAGAGCCATCAGCCCATCACTGTCTAAATATGCATCAGAACTGTCTGCAAATGAGACTTCTATATGATTTGTTTGCCTAAACGATAGTATATCCATGATTGCTATTTCGCATGAACTGGTTTTAGAACATCGTGTGGCACTGGTTAATAAGTAAAGGTGAGCATTTATATAATTGCGAGTCAGAATTGCATGTTGTATTTAGCACTTGATTCTGGCACTCAAGCAAATTTAATCAAAATACAATTCACTGCAATCTCCAGAACCACATTTAACCAAAATATAATAGTCATTTAAATGGTCAGCTCCGTTTATTTCACTGCGTTTGTGTGAAGTAACTGCTCAGCATGCATGATCCAGATGCTATCCAGAGGTAGATGTCCATGTGAGATTGATCTTTTCCAATTGGCCCAACGCTCTTGGATCCGCGCCCTGATCGGGGGCGCCCAACCGCTCCATGGTTGGTGGACTCCCGTCGCACAGCGACCATAAAAAGGGAGGTGGGGGCCAGGGCACAAGGCACGAGGTTCACCTAAGCCACCAGACGCCCCACCTACAGTCCCTAAACCCTAGCCGATCTAAAGAGGGGGCGCTGCCAGCGACGGGAAGCTCCGCCACCGGCCACCGCCGCCTCTGCACCGCTGCCACCGCGACAGCGCCTTCACCGCCGGGCTACACCGCGCCACTGTCAAGCGACCCCATGGCCAATTCGTCTTCTACGAAGGCGGCCGATGATTTACACCTCAGTAACCCCTCTCTCTATATATATATCTAAATCTCGTACTACTTCATGTTTTAGGACTTGCTATTTATCCCAAATGTCAGTAAACATGCTAGATCTATAGCTAGTTGATCCTGTAAATCTCTATCAATGGTATCAGTCGCCTAACTAGGCGTAGATCTAACTTATCGGGGTAGAAAACCGAGTAGCAGCAATTAGAAGGAGGTGAGAGATCCGATTCGGATCTAAGCAGAGGGTTCATCGAACCCTAAACCCAAATCGGGTGAAGAAAAGGAGTAAGAAAGGGTTTCGATTTTGAAAAAGGAACTCAAACCCTAACCCTAACCCGCGTAGACAACTCGGGGAAGAAGAACAGTAGCCAAACCCTAACCCTAACTCTAACCCAAAATCGGTCAAGATCCGAGAAGAATAAAGAAGATCCAAGCAGAGAAAAGAAGGGGAAAGGGGAAGGGCTTCGGAGGCGGCTTACCTCGTTGCCCTCCACTCACCGGA